GTCTTTCTGCATTTTAGACTTATGTAGTAAAGAAATAAAATAATGTCTATTTTAATCTATCTTTACGTAAATAATCCAAGATTATATTCCAATATAACATCGTTCTATAATAATTTTTATGTTGTTTTTAATTTTTTTTTTTTTTTTGTTATTTAAATATATTTCTTTTCCTTTTTGAAGAAAAATTGTTTTGTAGAAGGAACTTTTTATCAGATTTTATAATAAATATTTCTATGTAAGGTTTATCAAAATTAAAATCGGCGTATTTTTTTTCTGCTAATATTGTGCCTGTACGAAACATTTTAAGTTCCAATAAAATAACAAAAAATGTTAAAAGACGCCCAAGTAATTTATTGAAACTATTAATTACCTTAAAATGATAATTTTATTTTTAAAATATCTTATTTTATGTCTTAAATTTCTTTCTTATTTTCTTTAATTTATCGAAAAAAGAAATACATGATTTAATTGATGGTTATATCGAGAATTAATGTAATATTCGATGCAACCTCATCTTTTCTTTAGTATTAAAGAACTCAGTGTTTCCTCCTACGGTAGAATGGAAGGTTGTATAATAGCGAAGCAGCCTAGGCGTGGCCTATTCTGTAATTATCAAAAACTATCCGCTCATGGCCTTGGCGATTTTTTTTTTTTTCCTCTCTTGAATACCCTCCTCTCGTCAGACATCTATACATACCTGCACATCGGAAGATCTTGAGGTAAAAACAGTCGGAGATAAACGTCGTGATTTTATCTATGTGTGGATTGTAGTAGTGTCGTAAACGTCCTTGATGCGTCAATTCTATTTCTGGCTTGAAACTTCAATGATGATATCAACAGTTTCAATAGTTATAGCCAATAATTTCTTTCTTGCGACTAAATTTTAATTGATTTAATGCACCTACAAGAAATAACTGCGCAAAAACTCTTTTTTTTGCAATGATATTAATTATTTTCTTAAGTGAACCTAATGAAACGAGAGTAATTTTTTTTTTTTTTTTAACTTATTTATTGAAAAATATTAAAATCTGTCTCAATCAAGGACATTTATAATAGTGTTCAGAGATCGCATTCACACTCTATGTACAATAAATAAAATAAATTATACAGAAAAATAATATATATACATTAAATAAGGATAAAATAAACTAAAAATAAATAAATTAAAAGAACACATACATAACTATATACACTATTTACTATCTGGCGAGAGAACTCCGAGCCAGACTTGTCCCTTGTTGAGAGTAAGTTAAAATCATTTGTGAAACTCTCCATTATAAATTGAAATCCAACATAGGTCGGCATGGCTTCCTCTCTATTTCTATTGGTTACAAATAATATAACTTTTTAAGATGGTATAATAAAAAAATATCTAAGAATTGATTCTGTATAAAATATTTCGAAATGCAATTAAAACATTGTCACAGACAAAATTAGTAAAAATGAAAGAGACAAAAGTAGAAGTTAAGTTACACCATTTAAAAATAAAAAAATATATTCAATATTAAAGTTGAATCAAAGAGCCAATAATTTCATTTTAAACAAGAAATTTAGGCACTATCTTATAATGTTTCGATTCGCTCACTACTCATCATATTTTAGAATCATTATATTCTTAACAATTAATTCCATTAACTTCACTTAATGAAATAATTTTCACTGACGGTTCGAAATCTGAAAAAGGAGTGGGATGATGTTGCATAGTGACCAAAAGCAGTATAAATAGATGGAAACTGAGTATCAACAGTTCCATTTACACGTGGGCAATTATTAAATCATTCGAATGTTATCAATAACAATATCACAAAATCAGTTATTGTGACCGACTCCCTGTCCGTTATTGAACGACTGCAAAGTACATGGATCAAGAATACATTACACCCACAAATTCAACTAATGAACTTGAAACCAAAATGGTCAAGAAATTGCAATGTTATGGGTCCCTTCTCATGTTGGCATTACTGGAAATGAACAAGCTAGCAAAGGAGCAAAGAAAGCAGCCAGAAGTCCTGATTCATCCTTTTTAGGATGGATATTTCTCAAAGAATGGAAAAGAGAAATTATAAGCAAAGTTGATCAAATTTGGAATGAACAATAGGCACTTCTTCCACCTAATCACCTTCGTCTGTGAAAAGAAAAAAAGTTCTTGTCAACATGTTCCATCATTAGCTGACTTAGAATTGGACACACCAAGCTAAGGCATCTCCATTTACTTCTTGTCCTACATCGACAAACATGTCAAACATGTGACAACACTAACCTGACTGTATATTTGAATGTAAAAATAGAGTAGAACTTAACACCATTCCGTACAAAGAACAGAATTGAATAAAAAAAAAAAAAAACATGAATTTTCTCAAAGAAACAAAATTAACGAATCATATTTAGCAAGAACGATCATCGCTAATGGCCATGGCAGTCGAAGCGATGTTAAATAACAGCAAAAAATACAAAAAAAAGAAACTTCAACTGTTAACTGGAATTGAAATTTATATTGCACCTTGGCGTCAAATCGGTCGAAAAGTTTTCGAAATTAAGACGTGTAAAAAACAATAGCTTTGCACATATCAAAAATAAGAAGTATTTTTTTTAAATTGGCGGATGGAATTTGATGAAAATTTATAACTGCTTGATTTTTTGTTGACTAATCGCTTACTTCCTTCCGAATTTGGGGCAAATCGAACATGTGTTTTTTTAGACATAGAAGTATCTAGAAAAATAAGAAGAGGATGGAGTGTGATAAAATCGATTCATCATTATTATTCCATCGATTCCTCACAACCTCCCAAAATCAAAAACATACGTTAAACACTATACTACCACAAATTTACTAGTTTTTATTTTTTTTCCCAGCAATGAAATTCTCTTGGGATCTTTGAATTTATTATAGAGTCTTACTAGTAAATAAGTTTAATATATAGTTGCTTATTCATTTACCATTATTAATCAGTAAAATAATATATTAGAAAAAATGTATAAATTTAACTTCTAGATAAACATTTATCATTAAATACTAAACTTCCTGAGTTTTTTTTTTTACTGTGTTTATTCATCATCGTAACTCTACCATTATAAAGAAACTCTAAAACTTAATAAGTTGAGTAAACTTTGAGTAACAAATGAAAACATAGTCTCATGGGACAAGGTCTGGGACTCGATTCCGCAACCTTTTTTGGATTACGTCCTACTTTCAAAACATAATTGCCTTCGTAACACAACACAATCGGCAGTTGGTCAGGTTTATGAAATTTTATTTATTGAGAGATATTACAATCTGTCACAATTAAGGACATTTATAATAGTGTTAAGAGAGCACATTCACACTCTATTTACAATAAATAATACAGAAAAATAATAATAATAAAAGTAGATCTATATAAACAAAATAACTAAACTAATCAAAATAACAAGATCATACTTTTATACAATATTTACATAATCCATTCTCTCGGGAGAACTCATGGAAGGAAAGGCAGGACTCTAGGAGATCCCAGCGCCTCTCACTCAGTGTTATTACTGGTAGGTCAGGTTTAAGAAAAAACTAAAACAAAATAAAAGAATAATCATAGATAATATTTCTTGATTTATACACCTATCAATTCCAAAATAAAGTAAAATACAATGCGTTGATACAATTTTTTTTCATTCTTATATAATTTGTATTGTTTTGTTTTTGTTTTTTTATGAGATACATTTCGGTAATCAAGATACATCTAATACTAGATAATAATGAATAATATTATTTAATTTTGCTTGCAAATTAAATTGTTGTTAAACCCCTACTTTATAGGAAAGCATGAAAATATGTTTTTCTTTTTTTTATGAATTTATTAATAGAAAATTATCAACTAAAAAATAATGTCAATAATGTATAAAAATATTGTGAACAAATAACTTTCTTAAAAAAAACAAATTTAAATTGCTCCATACACATTTCTTTATTAATAGTGTATATTAATAAAAGATATTAATGATAACCTTTCTGATTAATTTTAAGTATTGTGACTATAATTTTATTTTTGTATAATTTTATCAGGCAATTTTATATTTAATTATATATTACTGAAATTGTATATATTTTTAGTTGTGATTTTCACCTTTCGTTAGGTTAATGGTTTTTTATATATCGTGTGAAACCTATTTAAATTATCATATTTTTAAGAAAACAATAGATTCTACCTAAAACCTCCTTAGAAATAAAACAAATATTTTTATTTAACAGAAAAATGTTTATTTATCATTTATTATTTGTTTTTTAATTAACTTCAAGATATAAAATATGTGTCTACTGATAAAAGAATTTACTGTTTTGTTTTTTTAGAATAAAAATACAACAAAAAAGTAATTGAAAAAAAGAAAAGTTTTGATATAACGACAATATTTTGTTAGGGTGGTAAGCGGTTTATACTAATATGTTTGGAAATTACTAAAATAAGGCCGAAACTTAATATATGTTTTTATTGTGAATAAAACATTTTATTTCTTTATACTTTTATAGATAAAAAAATGGGTTCTGGTAATTAATAATTAATTTACTTTAAAAAAAGTTTGAATATTTTCTTTGTATTATATTCAGACAGAATTTTGATCCCTTTGTTTTGTAATTAATTAAGTAAATTAATTTCTAATACATTTTATAATTAACTTTTAAAGTAATTACAACGTAAATTATTTGTTAACTATTTATATTGTGTTTATGAGACGAACTTAAAATTAAATATAAATTATCTTTAAGGCAGCTATCCCTGAAGAAAATAAAATACTGATTTAAAAAGAGATATATTACTGAAATTTATATCAATAAATAATTTACATTTTAACGTAGAATTTAATTATACAATTTATTATTATAATATAATTTTATCCTATCAAGGTAGTAAACGTTTCAATAGCTGACATCATTCCTTCTCTTTCTACCCGACTCTAATTTTAAAGTGAATGTCCGTTTAGGAGACGGGTGACGTCACAAATGAGCAAACTTCGGGGGAATTCCTGAAATCATGAACGACCCATATCGGCATATCTGGAAAGTTCCTTTGAGGGTCGTCAGGTGCTAATTAAAAAAGTTGCCTATTTCAATTCCAATAGCTCGTTTCGAGAAGTAGTTAGGTATAAGGAATGAAATTAGCCCGTAGATTTCAGATTATATAATGGAAACGTTTTGATATGTCGTATTAAATTATTGGTATTAAAATGTAATCAGATATCGGAATTACATTCATTATATTTACTAAAACTTTAAATAAATAAAATTTTTTTTTAGATGAATTACCAAGTTGTGTGCGATGAGGAAATTTTTTTATAGTCAACCATTGACGCAGGTTGGGATTTCCTTTCGTGTTTTCTCCTCTAAGCGTGACTTTTCCTTTTTGATTTCAACCTTAACCACAAAGGTATATATAATATTGTAATGTATTGCCTCTATTCTTTAAAAAAATATTTAACTGCGAGTTTGAGATATCCCCCGGCCAAAAATCATTATTAAAAAAAAGTAACATATTTATATTTCGACCTTTACTTGATGGCTTTGTGTGCCCCAGTACTTTTAGTTTTTAACTTTAAGTGGTCGTAAACCTATGACAGTATCCTTTAATAACACCCCACTTATCCCTGTTGAACAAATCCGATACCTAGGACTCCACAAACCTGGACATATGTTTCACTTGGAATCCTCATACGAGACTGAAACGACAAGAAACAGCTCGACGTTTCCGCTTACTCCAACACTTACTAGACACACGATCTAAGCTTCCAATTAATTACAAAATACTAATACACATGACTATAATAAGATCTATTTGGACTTATGGAGTTGAGCTATGGGGCTCCACTAAACCATTGAACTCCTCTCATATCCAATCCCTACAATCCAAAATCCTTAATGCTCCTTACTTCATCACAAATAAAATAATTCATAAAGATCTTACTGTTCCATATGTTTCTGATTTGGCCCAATCCAGATACCTATCTTTCCATAGTAAACTTCATAACCATCCGAATCCTCTTGTTTCTAACCTTGCTTCCTCTTCTATTCGTGATAATCCTCCAAGGCGTCTGAAAAGAAGATGGCCGCGAGACCTCCCTTTGTAGACATATTATCAGTGGGTAGTTTCTCAACAAGCGGGGTACAGATTTACTTGATGTATTTATATTAATACAGTTGTAAATATCATAAATTAAATAAAACTTTAAGTGCTAGTTTAATTCAGTGTATTTTAAATTATCATTTTATATACCTAATCGATACATCTTTAAAATGATATGGAATAATAGTCCGTGGTACAGACCCCTTTTTCTTTAATTATTGACATCCGCCTGAATGAAACTTCGTAAATAGTTTTATCTCATCGTAACCTACAACTATTTTATTTACGAAAACTCTTGGAATTGGGGCGTTTTCAATCTGGAGGGGACAAACTTTGTCTATTTAATTAGGTACTAAAAACTCGTAAATAGCCATTTGCTTTCTATTCGGATCGTAAGATAAATCGATCACGAAGTCGATGAAATAAAGTGGCCTACAAAATTTTGGGCCGTTTGGCGTGACCTCCAACATGTTCAAATAACGAGGTTGTATTCCTATATAATGGCTCAATATTTTTGAAGAGCACCTTTTTTCTCTACTTTGTGATCGAATTATCTTACGATCCAAGTAGAAAGCAAATGTGTATTTCCAAGTTTTTAGTACCTAATACCTAAATAGACAAAGTATGCCCCCCTCCAGATTGAAAACGCCCCAATTCTAAGATTTTCTGTAAATGAAATAGTTGTAGGTTACGATGAGATGAAACTATTTAAGCTTCAGATGGATGTTAATATTTCGATAAAAAGGGGTCTGTACAACGGACTATAAGATTTTAATGTATCTTCTAGCCTCAAAGTAACAATAATTATATTATGCCGAAATTGGCGGAACGAACTAGAAATTACTCAACATCAAAGTTTCAGTCTTGATTTAGCACTAAATGAATTGTTTGATACTTTAGCTATTGATTATTACAATTGAATTTCGGATTTAGACGAAATACTTGTAGATGTAATGTCAAACTATAATCCTAAATTCCTTAGGATATTTTTGAATTACCTGTACTAGGTCGAAATATTTATAAAAATATTCACGAATAGAAACACGGTGGCCATAGTAGTAAAGACGCAAAGCAGTGTAAAACAAATTCTGAGCCATTGTCATTTTCTAATCTAATAGATGTTTCCTCGACTCCTTGCAGAAGAATATACTCTTCTTTCATTACATTATAGGTATTGTTGAATTAATAACCCTAAAGTCACTCTTAAGCTGCACGTTTCACGTTGAGGAATGTTGTCAGCGAGAGATGCCCCGAAGCAGATTGTATGGCGCAAGTTGCGAGATCAAAATTTTAAAGGGGACACATTTTTACTTGTTTATTTATGGAGAGAACCATATTTTTGTTAAGTTTCAATTTGGAGGAATTTTTAAACCAGGAAACAAAAGGGAAAGACTTGAAACTAGATAGTAAAGCGAGTGTATGATATAAATTATTTCGCATTCTACTTTCGCTTGCACTGATTTTAAGAAGAGAGAGAAATAAAATTATCCACTTTAGGGGGATGGACATCCCTCTCCTGGTTGTTTAGTTTGTAAATCTGATGCATTTCATGTACTATATTGGTTTATTATTTTCAATAATGAAACATTGTGATCGACCAAAAAATTCAAAAACATAACCCCCTCTCAAAATTTGAGGTTTCACGTTTCAAGACGCGTAGAATTCGAAAAACGAATAAAAAATTTTTTGTCCGTACGCCGTCCGCCGTCCGCGCATTTTCTCCGAAACTACTGGACCGATTTTTTTCAAATTTTGATATAAAATCAGAGGTCACCCGAGGATAATGCTCCTTCATCGACATTACTCTCCGCCTTTAACTTTCAAAATGGCGGCCGAAAAACATGCGTTGCTATAGACTGTAGCTCCTAAACGGATGTACAGATTTCAATGAAACTTCGCTAAAGTCATTTTCTCGACGTCCTTTAAATTTATCTATATAACATACTTCAACGAAAAGAAGCTGGAAAAAAATTTACGAGGGATGGTAAAATTAAATTCCGAATAACTCAAAAAGTATACCTTTTTGTCGATATTGTATGGTTATTTAAAACTTTACGGAATTTCCTAAAAAAAGAATCGTTAAAATCGGACAATTAGGAGCAAAGATATGGTCTCCGGTTTTTTTTAATGTGTTCTACTCCAAATGTTATATCCTTGGTTTGTTTTTTAAATTTTAAATGTGTTTCTGAACTAATGCTAATTTTTTTTAGCATATTACTAATGATTAAAGAAAAACAGTTTATACAATAATTGGAATCACCTTTTGTTTTTTTTTTTCTTTGTTACTCAGAAGGTAATGTTACTTTAGATGTATAATTGTTTGGAGATAATAAACCATTGTGAAATAATTTGCAGCCTTTTATTTCTAGTGTCGGAACTTTATAAAAGTATTTTTAAATATTCATTCGAAGCGTTATTCTTTGTTTTTAGATTAATAATTATTATAGTTGTTCATTACAATATTTTTTTATTCATTAGCTGTAATATTTTGAAAGCCAAATTGGTTATTTTACTATATTTTGTTGTCATTGCTTTAGGTTATGCCTGAAAAACATAAAAGCTGTGTAGGATCACATTCCAACACTACCATATAGTCTAATAGATAGTGTAGAATTGCATGTAATAAGCGTTATTATGTATAATTACCATTGGAATTAACATTGTTGTATTGTGTTCAGGAGCAGCTGCGGAAGCGGAAGGAGGATGAAGAGCGGGCGGCGGCGGCGGAAGTGGCCCAGAGGTCGCTGCGGGGTTCCAGGAGGCTCCAGGCCCTGGAATCCAGACCCGGCCTCGTCAACGATGCCTTCACCCCGGAGGAACCCTCCATAGAGCCACTCCACAGGCCGATAGGTCAGTCCACTTTTTGAGTATTTATTTTTGGACACTTAATACACAGTTTAATGAGTACGTTCTGCACAGAGGAACCGTTAATGAGGAAATTAGTGGAATGAAAAAAATATATTTCTGCTACTCATTCAATGGATCATAAACACAGAATATAAAGAAAAAGTCTAAAATCTTGCTCAGCGTAACTCTCTTTGACGGTACATATACGAGAGGTGGCTATTAAATAATGAGACTGATGCTGTTAAACATTTTATTTTGATTTAATACATATTTCCTAATTATGCACCCTTCCTCTATCCCTGCAATGCTCATGCGAAAATTTCACATCTTCAACGGAATCAAATGTTGTTCATTTTAATGGAGATTAATTAATCGCATTTTTTTAGTTTTAATCCTGAAACAAAGCGTCCTATCTAACCAGATGGTTAGATAGGATAAACAATGATACGGCTGAGCTTCATGCAGTAAACTGGAAAGCAGTAGCCCAAGATAGGCAGAGGCGAAGAAGACTGGCTCATGCGGCCAAAGATCCACAAGGTTTGTAGAGCCAACCGAAAAAAAAAAAAAAAAAAAAAGAATATATATATATATATATATATATATATATATATATATATATATATATATATATACATATACATATATTACATATATTATACATTATTATACAGTATAATTCAACTCAGTATAATGTCTATACCATAGTTCCTTAAGTCCTCGATACACAATCTGACTACAGAAGAAAAAATAAAAGTTCGTATAAATATTAAAATTAAAATTAAAATTTTTTTTTGTATATTCAAAACCTTGTTTGAATTGAAGCTATATTCAATCTTGATATAATTGAATAGCATAAAAATTAGTTTAACAATATAAACTTAATTTTTCTATCTAAAAGAATTTTTGTTTGTTATATACTTGTTTAAATTAGTTTCATTTTATATTGTATATGGTATTTATAATGTCAACCTTCATATTTATAGCCATTTATTTTTTATACTGGTGACTTAGTCACCTATTATAACTATTATTTACATTTTTTTATGTTTTAATCCTGAAACAAAGCGTCTATCCATGCCCTAGAGAAGCCCGAATAAGCAATTCAAAGTAATGATGATTATTTTTCGATATTTATCAGATTGTGCAACTTTACCACATTCCTTAAGGTCAAACTATTAAGCAAAATTGAACATTGAGCATGAAGGAACTGACAGAAGAGAACACCCAGGACTATTTCAGATAATGGAAGATTCGCATGGAGCATTGTGGGGACAGAAAGGAATCTATATAGAAGGGGTCAAATAAGTAAATATATATGTATGAAATCAAAATATCATATTTTACAGTGTCAGTTTCGTTTTTTAATAGCCAAGACTCTTATCCCGTACCTCTTTAAATAGATACCCCACTGCTGCGAATTATCATTAAATAAACTTATTTCTTCAACACTCCGACAAGATACCTTCCATATCTATTTATTGTAACAAGTCACATATTTTCACAAATGGTGATTGCCTTGAGCTTATGTTTGACCGCAGAATGACGTGTTTTGTTTACATGTCGAGCTGAAATGCAAGCGAGAACTATATGTAAGGAAGAATTGTCTATTTATCCTTACATAAAATCCTTTTGCAGATACCCCACACTGATGTTGGGTACACATAATGAATTTTCGTTCTGGAACTAGCTTCCAAGTATAAGCAAGAACAAAGATTTGGACAATAAAAATTACAAATTTATAAATTTTTATATAATATTATGGTATTATTGTATTGAGATTGGATACACATTCATTTTTACCAAATTACTAATTGGACCGTGCGAATAATTTGCATGATATATTGGTCAATGACCAACTGGTAAGATAACATCGGAATAAGTTACATTTTTAGGAAATGGAAATTTTAAAAAGTTGTATCATTGCTAATAAGCAATTTTTTATTTTCTTCTGTTTTGAATTGAATTTAGATACAATTTCAATTATCATGTGTATGAACCAACTATGAATTGTATACCTTTTGAGTTATGCGCAAATTAAGTCGCCTTTTTTCTGTGGGATGTGTATATTCTCGTTCCGGGCGGAGTACGTATAATTTAAAATGATGGATCAATTATTTGATTTGATCAAGTATTAATGAAGATATGATATAACGGCAAAAAAACACCTTTGAGAAATAATACATAAAAATATAGCAAATTAAGTAAATTTACGGTATTTTATTGGAGCAACCCACCTACCTACCCACTTGTCACTTTCCTCCAAAATTTTCTCTTAGATTTCTGAGAGCTCTTTCGACTGACAAACGTATATTACTACTTCATATTCATGAATCGGAAGAAGAAGAAATAAATCTATTTATCAGACTAGAAAATAGGTGAAGTCTCAAACAGTTTGGAAGACAGCTTCCCACTGACTTGGCTGGACGTAGAAGTAATTGAACAATATTATTTTACTTCCTTACACGATGTCTCATTTTTACTTTCATGTAATATATAGTAAGAATAAGTATTGCGATCGAGAAAATTTTTGAATCTGAGTTTTCAACGGAAATACACGTTTTGAGGTACCCTGAGTCGAAATGACCAAGTCCCGGAAAAATGGTCTGTGTGTTTGTATGTTAGCAGTCTAGCTCAAAAACGAAAAATCTTATGAAACTGATATCACGTATTTAAGATAGGTATATGCCTTAGATGTGACAGCAACTTTTTCCTTAAAATCGGCCGACCGGAAGTGTCACTTTATATCAACGCTGAAAAACATTTTCACAATTTTTCTTTAAAATGTACTTAATCAAAGCCTTGTTGGTACAAAATGTGGAAATTAGAGATTAACTGAATAATTTACTGGACTAGGTTTATTTACCTATTAAGCTTACTTCTTAAATTACTTAAATCATTCAGAGCCATCTCTGGTTCAACAATATTCTCCGTATGAAGATCGTCGGCACACTGAATATGTTTGAGGATGTTTTTTTTTTTTTTTAACTAAATTCATCCAATTACTACCTCTTTTGTTGTAAAGATTGTTTAAATTAAAACCATTTTGAACTAGAAAGCACTACTGTACAAATTGTCTGCGGTTTTCACTTCTTGATTACAGTAATTTAGCATGCGGGTAATTTGTGTTAATTGTGCCGTTATTTTGTTCTGTTCTTTTTTTTATTTTTTTACATGGTATTTCGATGTAAAAAAAATAATAATAATTAAGTGTGTTAATAATTAAACAATTGTTTCTTACGTTGATGCGTATTTATAGCGTCGTATTTTACGTGCTACAATCGCTGTGTGGACTCCGAAATGTTTTTTGCGAAACCTCTTTATTTTTGTAGAAATCGCTTGGAGCACGGCTTGGACACAAAAGTCCATACTTTTTCATCAGTCTTTTAATCATTAACTTTCTCTTCGCACACAAAGTTAAGAAGGAAATGCTTTCTCTTTGTCGTGAAGGCTATGACATTTTGATGGAAAGTGGTGTGCTGTTCGAGCATTAGGGGGCCCAGCGCTGTCATCGGTTCCCTCAATGGGTCCCCTTTATAAATTATCCACCGCAAGACATTCATCCATCAAAGCTCTTGCGAATATACATATGTATGGAGGATCAGTACTCCTTACTGAGCGACTCTCGCCATATTTCAACGGTTAATCACTAATCTTGAGTTAATTAAATATTTTTAGTAAATAATAATAAGCCCCAAGGAAAAAGAAGGCCGATAACGCAAATGACCTTTCTCTAAATTACTGATATTTATAACCGTTCTTTCAATTATAAAACCGTTACCTGAATTACTGATATTTATTACCGTTGTAACCGTTCTTTCTTTGGATCAGTTATCAATTTAATGAAAACAGCCACCTCATGTTTAGTACAAGGAAAAGAGAAAGAAATATAACCCGTCCTGAACCATTAAGTAAAAAGATATATTCTTTCAGATTTGACGCAGTCCTCCCATCTACGTCTCGATCAACCTCAATAACTGAAACCAGTAATTCAGTCACATGTCCAATTCAGTTGCCATGGTTTTGAAGTATGTATACGGTGGCAATACAGGTCACACACTTCTACTTTGTGTTTATCCGTCTCGATTCTTCAGTGCACCCTTTAGAATAAATTTTAGTTTGATATATATATATATATATATATATATACACACGCACACTGTATAATTCAACTTAGCCTATACCCTAGTTCCTGAAGTCCTCGCCATAGAATCTGAATGAAGAAGAAAAAATAAATAAAAATCCGCATAAATATTTAAATTAAAATGAAATATTTTTTACTCCTTCGTGGAAATTCAAAACCTTGTTTAAATTGAAGCTATATTCGGTCTTGTAATAATTGAATAGCATAAGAATTAGTTTAACAATATAAACTTAATTTTTCTATTTAAAAGTTTTTTTATTTGTTATATTCTTCTTTATATTAGTTTCATTTTATATTATTTATGGTATTTTATAGTGTCAACGTTTATATCTATAACCATTTATTTTTTTTATACTGGTGACTTAGTCACCTATTCTAACTATTATTTACATTTTTTTATGTTTTTGTCATTCATAGTTAGATTAGTTGAAAAAAAATGAAATTTAACTGTAAATTTTTATAAATATTTTCACTTTTAAAAATTATTTTCAAAGTTTACCCATACTATCGTTATTTAGATTAAATTTAAAAAGACATTTTTTAAAAATTACATTTAATTTATTATTTGGCCATTTTTGGGTGCTATGTGCAACTTCATAGGTTAGAGGCACACATTTAATTTAAAGTTTCTTAAGCTAATGGTTACTCCTACAATGCGAATTTTAAAATATGTAAATACGAATTTCGAATTAAAAAATATTACAAAAATGTAAATAATATACGGGTTGGATGAAAATTAAAATAAATCTGTAGGTATGTATGAAGTGATTTGTGTTTAAAAATGGAAACGTTGTTCCGAAACGTTATAAATATAAAGAATTCTGGTGCGGTACATCACACGACTTTCAATTGGCAGGCTACTTTCAGAAGAAACTAATT